CCCTCAAGATCTCTTTCCTTCATGTCCTTTGTATGCAGGCAGCCATCCTACGCTAACATCTTTGAAAGATTTGTGGCGGAGGCCAAAGCTCCAAAATCCACAACACCTACAACGAAGTCAGGGAGCTTCATGAAGTTGGCCTTCAACTAGGAGAAGATGTTGAATGCCAAAGGCTCAGAAGGCAGCGGCGGCGTAGAGCCCCCGAACTGCTCAAGCGCCCCACATAAAGCTTAGCCGCCGCCAGCCCGATGGACTTGGCTTGCTCAAGGCACTTAGATAACATATCTACTTGTGCCTTTAAGGTAGCGCCAGACTCCCTCTCGGCATCCACCTCCTTCTGAAGGCTGTCAGCTACTTCAATGGCGTTTAGGGCGCGCTCAGCAGCCAGTTGCTCGGCAGCCTTCGCGCCATCAACCTCCTTATTTAGCAAGTCAACCTTCTTCTGGCCAAGTCTCCCCTACAAGCCAAGTCTTTTTGGCCTCTAGAGTCTCTACCTCCTTCTTCAAGGCCTGGATGGCCAAATTGCGGTCGACCACCTCTCGCATGCCACGCTCTTCAATGGCCTCCGAAAGATAGTGACTCTGCCAAAATGAGCGTCAACCATAAGCAAAGTAGAGTAACAGCCGAGAAAACAAAAAAAGCAACATACCACACATTGCTGCTCCAAGCTCATCCACAGCAACTTAAAGTAGTCTATGTTTTTCAGGTGGTGACGAAGGCGGCCTAGCAGCAAATATAAGCGTAAGAAACGTAAGACAAAAAGTAAGAAAATAAAAGATATAGGAAGAACAACCTCCTATATCATTATAAATAGCTTCAAGCACATCCGCCCACCCACTTATTGTGTTGTCGGAGGCATCTGGAATAGCAAACAAAATCAGCAAGACCGAAAACAAAAAATAATGCAGAAACAAAAAACAAGAAATAAAAAGTAACCTTCGCCACAATCCAAGCCAGCGTAGGATGGACGAGGAGTCAGACCCTAAGCGGAGGCCTTGTAGGGGCTCCGAAGCCAATCCGGGCGAGGTCCACACCCAAAGGGTCGTTAGGGTTTTCATCAGTCCTCCCAAGGGCCTCCGTCAAGCCCCCTGGAGAGATAAAAACAAGTCCCGATAAAATAAGAAAGGCTTAAGCACTAAAGGAAAAGCAAAGCTAAAAAGCAACTCACCAAGATGCAAAGGACTCGGTACAATACCTGAGCCTCCAGCATCCTCGGTGTGGTGACCGGTGGCCTAAAACCCTATGGCCCGAGACGGAGCAACCAGAGAGCTTGCCTCTGCCTCATCCTCGGACACCTCGTTGGGACCTGCCGTAGGTCGACGAAAGCCAGTACTAGTGGCCTCCCCCTCTGTGGGTGGAGAAGCATCACCACCACCACCACCATCGCCCTCGGAGCCGAAAGTTTCATCACCCAAAATGTCGGGCATAGGCACCACGGCAGAGGGTTCAGCAGCAAGGCCACTGTCTGCACCTTAGAGGGCAGTATCCACCAAATCGTCGCCGCTAGGATCCAAGGAGGCAGCAGAGCGCTTGCCTCCCATTTTGGCAGCAGCAGAGCCAGAGCCTCCGCCAATGTTCTTGGCATCCTCCTCATCATCATTAGCGAAGGTAGCCACAAACGCATTGGTGGAGGCGGCAATAGAAGCAGCCCTAGTCTTCCGCCTCTTGGTAATGACCTTGGGCGCAGTAGCCCCCTTCCTCTTCCTTGCCTCCACCACAACAGTTACATTCTTGGCAGCGGCCTTCCTTGCCTTGTCCTCTATGGACTTGTGCACCTTCACACGAACATCATGTTCCTCGTGGTGGATCTCGAATTCCTCAAAAACTCTATTAAGCCAGGGCATCGTACCAGGGATGGCCCGGCGCGCTAGATACTCCCAGTCAGACATCTCACCAAGTATCTCACGTGCCCCACCTCGGCGGACTTCATCAACTTCTCCGTAGCCCGGCCCTCCTTCTTCTCAAATCCAAAGCGCGGGAAAGGAGCCCTGACACCTTCACCAAACACAGGCAGACTAACCATCTCAATGGTCTTGGCGGGCCTGTTCCTACCGAGGGGCCAGCAGTTAGCCACCATAATCTCCTCGACCAAGTTGCGACCTCTGGAGTACCGACAGGCCAGAGCGAAGGCCCTGTAGCATGCTTCGTGACCCTCCTTAGTCCCTGGACCTAGGGTTCCCTGAGTCTAAGGCCTCATTGGATTCATCACCGAGGCTATCGGATAGCGGGTATTCTTCTTCTGTCTAAGCCGGTAGATATCATGCCTCCGGTCCTCATGTAGAACCAATATTGCATCCAATCCTTCGACCACTTGTTCTTCTGGGTGAAGGAGATCTCCAACTTCTTGCCCTTTTGGGTCCTCCGTGGCATAAAAGCGCAGCTCCCATACTATGCCACCAGCAAATCTTCACCAACTCGCTTAGGCTGGCGTTGGAGCTCGTAGTACTCACAGAAAGTACCAACATTGGGCTCCGCGCCATAAGACAAGCAGGCCCAACAAAACTTACTCAGGGTAACTATTCCATTGGGCGTTAGATGGTGAAGTTGTACCTCAAACGCCTCCAACACCTGGCGAAGGAAGCGCGCCACCGGGAAGCGAAGGCCGTAGAGAAAGATATCCTTAAAAACCACAGCATCAGCGGCCTTCGGCTTAGGAATTGTCTCCCCTCTAGAGGCTTCACCTTAGCATCCCCAAAGCAGCCCAGCTGCCCCAACTCCTTAATCATGTCCTTAGTCATGAGCGAAGGCCCGAAATCCCACGTCTTGGATGTGCCAGCCATGTCTCCTGCCTCTTCAATGGTGATTAAGTCTACGATGGAGGCCTCAACTCTAGAAAGATCCTCTTCAAGCCCCAATGCCTCCACACTAACAATCATGCACTCCTCAAACCACGCAGACCACCCACTAGACCTAACACTAAGAAGGTGACGGTATGGCCCAAAGAAGGAAGTCTAGCGTGGAGGAGGACTGATAGGCGTAGCCACTTCTAAAGCTCCGAAACAGCCCAAGAGGGGAGCAAAGGCAAATAAATAACTAGGCGAAAGCCAGGCGGAAAGGGACAGCGTAGGAAGCGGCAGCAGCGAAAGCGATGGCTAGGATAGGGACAGGGGGTCCTTCACCTACCGTCCCTTATATAGCCCCTGTCGCGACGCTTCAATTTTCGGGGCCAACGGTTCCGCAGCTACCGCGGCGAATCAAATAACGACACATCACCAACGCAGCGGTCTGATCTAGGCATCCCAGGGGGGAAAGGGGGAAAACCTCCGCGTGCGCAAGAGCCTCCACACCTTAGAGCTTGAGGGCTAGGTTTCAAGGGCAAGGCCCGCATGAGGGGAAGCCTTCGCGCCTCAGAACCTGAGGACAATGTTTTGAGGGCAAGGCCCGCCAGCATCAGACCAAGCCCTCAAGAGGGGAACTGTTGGGACACGGTTATGAGTAACGAAGGCTAGGGACCGCAACAGCAATGAAAGCTAACGATTAACGAATTTTATGAGTGATGTGTATGAAGAGAAGATGAAAGCGTCCGCCCGATCGGCCGATCAGGGTGAAGGACCAGAGGATGTGGCGAAGACACCCGGACGCAGTCCGAGGCGGAGGCTCCAACGCCCTGGGCGGAGGCTCTGGTGACCGGAGCGAAGGTGCCCGGATGCAGCCAATGGCGAAGGCTCGGGCGGCACCTGCGGAGGCTACGGAGAGTCAGCACGTAGGTACGGGCGAATGTCGCCCTAGACGGAGGTCCCGAGAGTCGAGGGACTTCCTAAAGGATGGCGGTGCTAGGCCATGGGCCGCAGACGGACTCATGGTTGTGGCCCATCAAGCAAAGGCGATTAAAGAAGAAGGCACCCAAATTACCCCTAGCAGTTTGTATTAGTATAGGAATATTCCGATGATGTACTGTAACCGTCGGGGGGTAAAATTGTAAAAGAGTAGCATTAGCAAGCAGTGCCCTATAAAAAGGGGAACATAAACTTTGTACAAGGGGAGAGGTAGTTGAATGCATTTATGAAACCCTAGTTTGGTCTGGACCCACTCTCCACCTGACACGCCTTCGCCCGAGGCATCTGTCTGGGCGAAGGCTTCAGCTATCTCCTTCTAGTCCCACCTGCTGGAAACCACCGTTTTCCAACACTAGTGTTTGATTGGGGGACTAGAGATTTGGGTTCATCTCCTAAAGGGAATATTAACGTTAGATGCGGGTCGACCCGGTTCCTTCGAGTCGAGTGGACGTGGTCGACCCACTTCGCGTGCGAGAGAGAGCGAGCGACCAGAGTGTAGGGGCGGAGCACGGGGCCACGGGGGCCGAGCGCCGGTGCGGAGCAGAGCGTGGCGGCGAAGCGTGGGGCCGAGTGCAGGCGCACAGCAGAGCACGGCGGCGGAGCGTGGGGCCGCGGGGGCTGAGCGCTGGGGCGGAGCCGAGCACGGCGCGGGTCTACCGGGTACGGCTTGAGCGAGAGGAAGAAGGAGGGCATAGAGGCTGACGTGCGGGGACCATGTGGCAGGGATCTCAATCCACTTACCATGTGTCTCAAACCAAACAAGAAACCGAGATGAACCCGACCCACACAACCAAACAAGAAACAGAATCACTCCATTCCAAAAAAAAATCAGAGATGGATCCAACTCATCTTCCCACAGCCAAACACATGCTTAGTCAGTGCCACGTCCTTGAAGTTGTCGCCCCATGTGTCTGACTCACTAGTACACCTCTCTGCAATCGGAGTTCTACTATAAAGACTATAAAGACTAGTAATCCTCAACGTACGTCCGACATGTTGCCTTGCTATCTTTCGGATTTTGGCAACTGCGTGCTGGTTTAACAGCCTGTTCGGGAGGCCGTATCGTATCGTGGATTATTTACTGCTGGCTGGTTTGGTGTGAGAGAAAAACACTGTTCCTGGCTGGAAATTTACGATCGTTTACGAGCAAGCGAACAGGCTGTGCAGTGCAGTGCAGCTGCAGCCGTCGTGCGAAAACTGTGTGAGGGAGAGCGAGCGGGCGCCATGGCAGCCGTACTTGTAGTGGAAACTCTGCACATGGTTCCCGGAGACGGAGATACAAGCTACGCTCGCAACTCCACTTTTTCAGGTATCTTTTTGTTATAATTATTATGCTATTTGAATCTGTCTTCTGTCTGTCATTCAAATGTGAGCTAGCTTGCGCACACGGACGCATCAATTAATAACTAAATTTAACGCGACAAGGCGACAAGAGATGGGCAATGGAGAACTTGGTATATCACAGCCCATGCATTGCTCTTTGTTTCATTTCAGAAAGGACCTTCTTCAGGCTTATTCGTATTCCTGTCAAAGCCCCCAAATTTAAGAGGATGTACTCCAACTACACGACTAAAAACAAATTAGTTTTGCAACCAGCGAAAACTAGTTGTAAACATCCGAAAAAAATAACGGAGGTGGACATCTTAAGATACCGGCCTCCGAATTGATGATTTTCGGAGACGACGGTCGTCTTAGGATGTCTGTCTCCATAAATGATTTTTGAAGACGGGCATTTTAGCTATGCATTTACGGAGATGGTCCCTAGGTGTGCCCGACTCCGGAAATGATTTGATCTGGTGTCCTAAAATCATTTTTCTAGTTGTCCACGGCAAGCATTGTGTTGTTCGTCGAGGGTCGATATGTGGACCTCCGGTGGCTTAAGCACTCAAAATACTTAGGGACACGAGAGATTTATCCCGAGCCCTACGTCCAGCAGTTTGATGTATTCTTCGTGTTAGGAATCACTATGCCAGAACACGTAATCCCTGTTGGACCATCACTGCCGGTTATGGTGGAGCCGAGACGGTGATAAGAAGATTACTATCGGTTCGTGAATTCAACTAGTAGTGATAGTACAACTGGTAGTGATAGGTGAACTATCACTGCCAGTTCGTGACTCTAACTGGCATCGGTAGACATGGTACTATCACTACCGGTTGAAGCCACGGACCGGCAGTCATAGGTACAACCATCACTGCCGGTGTGTGGCCACGAGCCGACAGTGATAGCCTGTTTTTTTTAATAAAAAAATCATAATTTTTTCATAGGACATCGGATTAAGATAAACTTTATGTCAAAGTTATATAGTTTAAAGAGATATAAGACTTCGTGGTTGACAACTTTTTGATTTGAGATGGTTTACAAGTTCAAAAGTTCTCAGAACAGATTTGAGATGATTAGCAATGTCGGATGGAGATGAAGTCTTTGTAACATTCGACGAGATCTATAACTATGCAGTTAACAACTTTTTCATTTAAGATCGCTTGAAGTGTAAAATATACAATATAAGATTGAAAATTGTGTAATTAAAAATAACAACATCAGCTATGTAGTCACATATGTTGCATCTTATTATTGCCCGTTGTAGACCCAACAGTAATGAGGGTGTCGATTGTCCACCGTTGGAGCCAAATCTGACAGTGATAGGAGGTTTTGACCCGACAGTGATTATAAAATCTGGTGTAGTGAATGCTCAAACCAGAATTATTACAATGGAGGAATCGAGAGAGAGAGAGAGAGAGAGTGGTAGGGGTAGCACTATGTTGATTTAGGGTTCTTGGTGAGATCGTCCGATCGGGTCTAGGTCCGATCATCCCCTTCTACGAGAGCCCATACCTTCCCTTATATACTGAGGAGGGCATGGGGTACAAAACGAATGGTTCTTCATCTAGGGCTTCTCGTCTTGGGCTTCGGTCTTCTTCTTCATGGCGCCGTCGGTCCTTCTTTGTCTTCTAGCTGGGGGCCGACAAAACCACAACCACTCCCTAACACCTCTGCTACAGCCTGGCGCTGCCCGCCTGGTGCCGCCTGCCATAGCGGTGCCTTCCCCGGATGAGCCTTGTCCTAGCTTCTTTGACACGCCAAGCTCCTTCTGCCCGAGGGATTGCCAAGTGGGCCTAGAGTCCCTCACTTCGGGCTCCAACATTTCCTTGTCCTAGCACGTCATGCCCCGGGTGTGACTCTGCCAGGGGGGTGGCCTACAACGCCTCGCGGCTGTGGAATGGGACAACAGTGTAGTGCTTCTGTGCCTATCAGGCGACTCTGAGTGTCCGACAAATTCCGGAGCTGCCTTCTGGCTTGGCTCTAGATGATTGTTGACTCCGAGCCAAGGTTGAGATGGCCACGAGGGCAGTGGCTTGGTCAGGGCTCCCCTTAGGCGGGGAATCCCCATGTCTTGGCCGAGTCCCTGAGCCCCGAGCGATGGCGACTTTGACTTTCTTAGGCTCGCCCCTCTGACATCGGAGACGCACCCGATGAGTGTAGCCCCTGAGCCCCCAGCATATTCGGAGAGTCAGCCGGGGGTTAGTCGGACTGTCGCGTTCTTAATGCGGTTCTGGACGGAACTTGAGGCTTCGAACATCAGTTAAGAACTAGTAGTAGCTGCAAGTCAACTTGCTTGCTCGAAACAAGAACAAAATCTGATCGGAGGGAATAACATATTTGGTATAAGTAGTTTGGAAGTTTAGGTGCCTCCGAATGATGATTAATAAATATTTTCCTAGATAAAAAAAAATTGTCAATTTGAAAACTAGAGTATATGTGTTTTCCGTTGATAATTGTAGAAATATTATTTCCTTCTATCCAGATTACTAATGTGGGCATTTTCCATGCATCTACTATACGTACTATCCAGAGTGGCCTGCAAAGCAAGCTAAAGCCAATGATAGAGGAAGCCGTGGCAAGCCTGCTGAACGACAATGGTGCCACTGCCAACGCATACTCCGGTGGCATGGCGATCGCCGACCTGGGCTGTTCCTCCGGTCCAAACACGCTTGCGCTTGTGTCCACAGCCGTGGACGCCGTCCGCCGCCGCTGCTCGGAGCTCCAGCAGCAGCCATTGGAGCTGTGCATACACCTCAACGACCTCCCAAGCAACGACGTACGTCAACCTGGTCATCAGGAGCCTGGCCACGTACATAAAAACCCAAGAAAGCTTCAGTCCTCCTGTCTTCACCAGCATCGTCCCCGGCTCATTTCACGGGCGGCTCTTCAACAAAAGTAGCCTTCATCTAGTCTGCTCGACCGCTAGCTTGCACTGGCTCTCAAAGGTTAGTATATATATCATCTTTTTTTATACACATATGAGACCATCTGGATCATTGAGTTTTAATCCCCTCTACATTATATATAGGGGTTGTTTGATTCATGGACTAAAGTTTAGGTGTCACATCGGGTGTCACATCGAGTGTTTAGATAATAATAATAATAAAACAAATTACAGAAGTCATCAGTAATCCACGAGACAAATTTATTAAGTCTAATTTATCCGTCATTAGCACATATACTGTAGCACTATATATATTGTCAAATCATAGACTAATTAGGCTTAATAGATTCGTCTAGTAAATTAGTCTCAATCTGTGCATTTAATTTCATAATTTGTCTCTATTTAATACTCCAAATTCGTGTCAAACATCATATGTGATATGGACTAAAAATTAGGAGGAAATTATAGTGTTTTTTTTATATACGTATCTTTTTTCTAGATTGCATTAACCGACCGGAAAATATAACATTAACAGGCATCCGAAGACCTGGTGAGGAACGGAATCCCGTTTTACGACAGGGACGAGGCGGTGAGGCGTGCACGACGTTCCACAGTCATCGAGGCCTATGCTCGGCAGTTTAACGATGACTTCACACGGATCTTGCACATGCGAGCTCAAGAGATAAGTTCCTGGAGGCCGGATGGTTTTCTCCCTTCTTGGGCAGAGTGCCATTCTGTTTTTGGAATTCACAAATGCCATCCTATACACGAAATGGCGTCAAAGGTACTGTATATTGTTCATAAAAAAGGTACACTGTATATGTCAACCATCACGCATATGCAGTTATTACTAGATATAAGTGTATAATATTTGGTGGTGATTATTGACAGGGTTTGATCGATAACGAGAAACTTGACTCTTTCTACGTACCATTGTACGGGCCATCAGAGAAGGAGCTGAGGGAGATAATAGAAGCTGAGGGTTCATTTTCAATCAACAAGATGGCTATCCATGAGTATCTTGATCAGAATGTCATTCTCGCGCCAAAGACAATTGCGCGCGCACTGAGAGCTATAATGGAGCCAATCATAGCGCAGCATTTCGGGCCATCAGCAGATGCTATGGATGAGTTCTTAAGGATCACGGACAAGCTCATCGAGATGTCGCCTCTAGATGAGTTTCCAAGTAAATCCGGCGCTTTCGTTGCTGCGTCCCTCACGAGGAGGACATGATCGACCGCAACGTTTGTTTACAGTGAACAAAAGCTGCAAAGTTGCGTATATGTATGTTTGGCAAATCACAGGCGGATTGCATGCATGTATATAAACTATAATAATGATATTTTTATGGAACAAATTTTAATTAAATCCTAGTGATATAATATCCGGTGGTGATCGGCTTAGCTTACCTGCTCAAGTGATATGTTTGAAAGTTTCCATGTAATTACCTTTCTTACGTACTCAAGTGAAATCCAAAGTTTCTAGACAAAGCGCATGCAAAAGACGTGCAAATATAATCTTAAGCATGCGATTTGTTAAGAAGTTTATATTTCACTTGAGTGCATATGTTGATAATTACATGGAAAAAGAATGATTTTTGGTAGATGTTTTTTATTTTTAGAATACATTTTGGGGCTAAATAGCTTAACTGAAAAGTCAAATATATACTACTATGAGTAGAATTTTATTTACAAAACTATAAAGCCTATGATGCTAAATACAACCAAAATGGGTCGTGTTTAGTTTTTAGCATTTATATTTAAAAATTATATTTTTAAAGACTTGTAGGTTCTTCATGTTAGATCGACAAATTTATTAAAAAAGCAGCGTAAAAGCTTTAAATCTTTTCTTAGGGAGTATGACGTATTCCTGAAACGATTTTCATTAAAAAATCATTTTTCCCATGGATGGTTTTTGTAAAATTCATTTACCCAGTGGACGATTTAAAAAGTAGTTCCACTAGAAAATGACAATGTTTTTTTTTTTGCAGATAAAAGGGATAGTTTTAAAAAAATACGAAAATGTATTAAATTCAAAATAATAAAAAAAGACCTCTTCGGAATCTAGGGTTCGAAAACATGATTGGATTAACCCTTGTTTTTAATTGCTAGTGCTTGTAAAGCTACACTCCATGGAGAGATCATTAACGTCTAGGAGACAAAGCTTGGGCCTCTTATCCAAATGTGTCATCACCTTTATTAGGAAGTAAAAGAAAGGGTGCGAGCTCTCTCGAGAAATGGGAGAAATAAAAAAAAAAGGAAAGCTAGTAAAGAACCCTAGTATGTTTCAGGCACAAGACAGGTAGTCTGTGTTAAGTAAAATGTTTGTTAAATGGGTTTTGGCAAATGGGTGAGCTGAAGACAACTGCCTCGGTCACAATAAGGACCGTATGTAATATTCCATGAGAATTTTTCATTACTTTTCTTCTTTTGTGCATGATGTTCATAACCAAATACTCCCTCCATCCCAAATTGTAAGTCATTCCAAGAATCTTAGAGAGTCAAACTTTTTCAAGTTTGACTAAAATTATAGAGAGAAACACAAAGATTGATGACATCAAATAGGTATAATATGAAAATATAACTAATGAAGAATCTAATGATACTTACTTGGTATGATAAATATTATTATTTTGTTATATAAATTTGGTCAAACTTGAAAAACTTTGACTCTCCAAAATTCTTGGAATGACTTATAATTTGGGATGGAGGGAGTATATTAGACCTAGTGCGAACTTGTTTCCAAACTAAGTCACATCACATCTCCACCCGGTGCTTTAACCTCCCCCTCGTGTGAAAGACCACCCGGCATTTTCACCTCGCCACCCCGCGCGTGATAGCTGGCCCGGCACTCGGACGCCTGCGACGAACCAAAATGAAACCTCGCGCCCCGCCCGACAGTTTTGCAATAATTTTCGATCTTGCGCGGAGGTCACCGCCATCGCGTCCATCGCGCATCCGCCGATCCCCCATTGTCACCAAGAGTCGGGAGCCGTCCTCGCCATCGCGCGTGCCTCGGCCACTATCAGTGCCGGTCCTAGGAGGGCCCTCTGGCGATTTCGTCTTAACGGTCCCTATTGACTATATATAAAATCTTATAATATATATGTACTAATTTTATTTGTAAAACGAAAGCAAATTCAATAATATATTTTTAATTTAACATGTCTGATAATTATCGAGGAACAATGTAGATTAAGCAATAATTTGTAGATGTATGATAATTATCGAGGAACAATGTAGTTTAAAAAAACAATATATTCGTTTTCTTTTCTCACCCATGACAAATGTTTTTTAGGTAACATTCTAAAATTCTAGCACCTAAATTAGAAGAAAAATATGACTATATAGGTACAAAATACTAGAAGTCTGGAATACTGTACAAATAATTATTTTGGATTAAAAATAAAAAAAGAAAAAATACCTTGAGCCTAAACAATTGATCGGTGATCGTAGTTTGTAAGAAGCCAAGAATTAAGATGTCGTCGTCGTGGAGCCCTGCCTGGTCGCCATCCTCGTGCGCCGTGTCCGTGTCTCCGGTAGTCTAGCTCTTCGCGGCGGCGTGGCTCGCCAGCTCCGCGTGTGTAAGGCGCATGTCGCGAACTCACGATCAAAGTGTGCTATGTGCAGCGTGACTCCACGCCTCCTCTCTACCCAAGGGCCGTGGGAAAAGTAAACTAGAAAATAAATATTGATGTTGTCTTTTTAAACCGTCTGACCAGTTCTATATCTCTTTTCTCATTAGTTTACTAATGTCTAGTGAACTATAAAATCTATGAGTTTGTATACTGGGCTTGAGCCCCTCCTCCGCTTGGACCCTCGGCCGTCGCACCTCCTCGCCTACCCTTAGGGCCGGCACTGGCCACCATCATCGAACCAAGCGGGGGCACCACACCATCGTGACCCACGCCGCCGTCTCCAGCGCCAACGCCGCCGCCCTCCTTGGGCGACGAGCCCCGCCACCGCGTCCCGCGCCAACGCCGCCGGTCAACAGCGCGACACGTCTCCTCTCCCTCACACTGACGACGCTGGACCGCCCCTGCCCCGTCGTGCTAGGCGCTCAGGTCTCCGCCGCCGCCGCTTCGCGTCGCCGCCATCGCACGCCAAGAGCTACTGTCTTCGTCGGTCACTTCACTAGATCTTCATCAGGCCCTTTACCTACGATGAGAACCCAACAGGTATGCCCACCCTTTGTGGACCCGAGCATTTGTATTCGAGTATGATCTGATCTAATTGCAAGTGTATGCAAGTATTATGCCTACGAACTCAATGTCCTTTACTGGATCCACGCCGTTGTCATGGTGCTCTGCTTCGCTAGGCCGTGGTGCGTTGCTTCGCTAGATCGTGTGCTCCGGTGCGTGGTCGTGTGCTCAAGAGTTCTTCATCCAAAGATGCAGCAATCCTTGAAATATTCTGGGTGTCCATTAGTGGTAGTTTTACTACAATCGATTAGCATGACTCTGGCACCCGTCCCTTTTTGTCCCTTTGTTTTCTACTGAACTTGTGATTTAAGTCCTCTTATATGGTCGCTGGTGGATGAAATTATCCTCTATCCAGTTCCTGCCCACATGGACTGAAAGTTACTCTTATGAGTCTGCAAATGCCTTCCACTGTGAAATGCAGCAGTGGAAATCTAAATGATCTTTACTCTCTGTGGACTAAGTATAGAAAATAATTGGACACAAGGATTGCTTACTTAGTTTCAGGAAATAACAAAAATAAATGCTAATTTAGTTTCAGATACTAACACAAGCATTCAGTTTGGTGAGACAAAGTGACAAGCAGAGTTTCTTCTTTATGCTCACGGGTAGTTTATAGTTTTAGAGTGCTCAAGTTAATATGTATTTTTTTATTTCATTGACATGCATGGTTATGTGCAGAGCACAGGCTGCCTATAGCTAAATAGGAGCATCATACTACTTAAGTGAATCCCTGAAGTCTTGTGCTTTTGACGGGTTCCACAGCAGGCTTGGCGGCGGATCTCCTGATTTTGGTATTGCTGATTAGCTCTTAGTACTACTATGCATCTATTGTCAATAAAATCCATTTTTCCTACCCGTCCACATTTTTAGTACTAATGGTAAACTTACACGAAAGCCTGCTACTGATAATACTGCTAGGAAAAAAAACAGACTGCTGCTAATTCTACTACTACTGACACTACCAATGGTAATACCACCAATACTACTACTGCTATTGGTAAGTATGGATGTCTCATTGCACTAACATTAATACTGCCTTTTTTGGATAGTAATTTCATTTCTCAATGCTTGATGTGCAACTAATACTTTTTGCATCTAATAATACTTCAGCTTCTAAATTTTACTTGTAAGATCACAGAAACTACTGCTGCTGCAGCTAATATTAATACTACTGCTAAAAGGGATGAATAGTGATAGTATGATTATACCCTTGGCGTCTTCTCTTAACAATAATATACAATATTTTCAACATTTTAGCACTAACGGTAAACATACCCAAATTTTACATGTTCTATTTTTTTCATATACTAATTTCCATTATTAGAAATTCCTGTTCTATGCTCTTGGTCTATTGTGCAAGACAAATCATACAGGCCGTGAGGCAAAGCACCACAGGTTCTATTTTTCATATCCTAATTTCCATTATTAATACTTGCAGTTCTTTTCCCTGATTCATACAGATCTTTTTTTGAAAAACTCTGATTCATACAGATCTGACGACCATAATGTGCCTCTTATCGATCCAGGGGTGTTAACCTCCTGTTGGCCTAAATAGATCTCAGATTCAGATTTGGGAACTACCAGAGGGCAGCTTGACCCTTGGCCGCTTGGATTGAAAGGAAATGCAATGGCTTAGCTTTTACAATGACACTGCCCCTACTTTTATAGACAGAGGGCCTCCCTACTTGCTCCAGCATATTCTAACCACTAAAGTGGATGTTGAGCATATTCCTAATACTAGGCTTGGAAAGGAAAGTAAAAGTGCAAAAAGGTAAGATACAAGTGCTTTAGCACTAGGCTCATCTAACATTTCTTCCCCTAAGCCTTGTGCCGATCACTAGAGGTGATCTGCCGTAGCCCAATCCTCTCCCTCATCTCTTGGAACTTGGACTTCCCGAGCGACTTGGTGAGAATGTCAGCCAGCTGATCAGTAGTGGCAATGTGGTTGGCCTTGATGCTCCCATCCTCCGAGCAGTCCCTGATGAAGTGATACTTGATGCGGATGTGCTTGCTTCTTTTATAGAAGATGGGT